AGTGGATGCAAACAAAGCTTTTGTTTTAAAGTTATTACCTGTTTGTAATTTAAAAACTTGCAAACTTCCTCAACTTGACAAAGACTTTATGGTCAAACTCTACATTTAATGGCAAAAATTTAGATGACAACAGCTATTCTGCTGTTGATTTTTCCTATAGGCTAAGAAAAATCTGAAACAGTCAACAAACTATTAGACATAATATGAGAGTTCACAGAATTTTGCAATTATAATATTAACTTGCAAAATCAATAGCATTTGTCTACATGAGCAAAGCACATAGAAAAAAAAATTAGAAAACCCAAGATACCACTTGCAATGCTATAAAAACTGAAATATCTAAGAAGTACACTTTAAATAGTGTTGTCAGGGAACACTTCTCCAATAATGTAACGTTTGAGATGAGATCTGAATGAAGTGAGAGTCAGTCAGGCAGATTATCTAAAAAAAGAGCATTCTAGGCCAAGGAAACTCCAAGGACAAATGACTTCACACCTTTGATTTTTTCCTTCCTTTCAACATCAGAATGTTTTCCTTTCTGTTAAATTCAGTCATTTTTTAACATTTAAATAGTTTATCCAGGTTAAGAAGAAATCCTCAATTCTTTTATAGCTTTGGTGTAGGAGCAGTTGTTTTTTAAACAAAACTTAGAAGACAAGAAAAGAATGGTAACATTTCTAGAAGGCCAAACCAGCAATAAACAGAGTAGAAATACAAATGATAAGCTGAATTAAAAAATATTTTCATTTCTTTTCTTCCCACCCTATACTTCATCTGGCTGACCCCACTCATCCTTAATATTCAGCTCCAGGGTCATTTCCTACAGAAACCTTCTCTGATGCCCATCAAGGGCAACCCTCTTGATGCTTCTACACTTTTTCAGAGCATGCTTGTATCACTGCTCTTACTATATTGTTTGGAAATTGTAAGCTGGATTTTTGTGTGTTCATCTTTTTTTCCCCAGTTAATTATATGAGGTTACTTGGGAGGACATAGGTAAATTTCTTAGCACCCTTCCAGTCTTCCCTGGGGCTACTGCTAACTGATTGTGTGACTTACCATAAGTCACTTAAACTCTCTGAATCTCAATTTCATCTTCTGTACAGGATGATGACATTAATACCAATTTTACAATGTTACTTTGAGAATTAAATGAGTTGGTACATGTGAGAAATGTGATTATAACTTGAATATATCTCTCATTGCATGCTGTGTAACTCAATGGCAGGCACATGGAAGGCATCATTTTAATAAATGTTTACAGGAGTGGGGGAATCCTACAGGGAATATTTTGTCAAAAGGAAGGCACCCTGGCTCTATGATGGGTGGGTGACTGTCTGTGGAGATAAGAAACCTCAGGAAATCCCTGGGGAAGGCAGACCTCCTGGGCACGCTCTGAATGATAGCATGGGAAAACTAACCCCCAGGAGTCCACGTGGGGGGCATGTCTATCCCACTCCCCATGCTGTGCTGTTTATACCAGAAGGAATTCTCTGAGGACTTCAGCAGGTGTGAAGTCTACCCTCCTTTCTGCCCTGCTTCCTGAAGAGAAGCTGACACACAGGAGAACTGAACCTGGTCTTTTTAAAGGTGGACTTTTTCCAGACATTTCTTTCTTCTGCCCAGTTGGAATATGTCTGTCAATGTTGTCCGACAGAACTCTCTGCACTGATGGGAATATTCTCTATATATGCTGTCAATATAGGGTAGCTATTGAGCACTTGAAATGTGGCTAGTCTGACTAGATAACTGATTTTTAAGTTTTACTTAAAATTTAAATTGAACAGTGTGGTATATGTAGCGCATAAAAGGTTCTCATCAAATGGTAATTTGAAATGTCAACAAACACATTTGTACAGAACTGCACCTTCCAATTCTTCTTTGCCTGACTCTAATCAACTCTCTACACAGCAACCAGAGGAGCTGACCAGGTCTCTGACCTGTTTAGAAATTTGTTACTGGGTTTCTATCACTTTCAGGATCAAGTTCCCCATAGAGAAGTTCTCCAGAATCTGTCTTTACCTATTGATGCAGCCTTGCTGTCTACCCCAGACACCCTATCCCTTCGTTGCCCATGCTGTTTCTGTTGCCTCAACCACCCTTTTCCCTTGTACCACCATTTTCTTTGTCCAGCTTATTCCTACTTGCCCTTGAAGAGTTAGATCAGACACTGTCCTCTAGGAAGTTTTTCCTAAATATCCCTTTACCTATCCCCTCTACTCCAGGCTGGGTTTTGTGCCTCCCTCTGGACTCCCACAACCTCCCATGCTTTCTTTTATCAGAACCCTGATCATACTGGGTTATAATTATGGATTAAATCTCTTTTTCTTTCTGGATTGTGAGCTCCTAGAAACCACAGACAGTGTTATATTCATCTCTTTATCTTCAGTGTGAAAATTAATAAAAGGAAAATTCATTTAGAAAGGAGTCGGGAAGTGGGCAGGAGGGAGCTCTCAAGTCCAGCACTCCTTGATAACTGCAGACCCACAGGATGTGAGGAGCCTCCCAGGTGAATACTACTTTACTATCCCTGCAGGATGAAGAAAGGCTTTCCTCCAGTCCTGGCAACAGTTCAGCCAATGAGAAACAGTCACAACACAGCCAATGAAAAACCACTATACTTGAGACTCCTAGTTTACTCCAATGGACTTTATGTTTCTAACAGCCTTCCCAGCTTCCTCCCTTTTCTATGTAAGAGAGTGTATCTCTCTTTTGCTCTGGGCCTTGCCTATCTATGGTTTTGCTACAGTTGACTTGTCTCAGATTGCAATTCTCTGTTGTTTCCGGATAAACTTTTTTTATTGGTAAAATAAATGACAGTTTTATTTTTTAAGGTTAACACTAGCATCTGCACAGAAACTGGCTCAGAAATGGAATCAAGGTTTGTTTAAGTTAATTGTTCTAAAATATGTCAGGTTTTTTATTTACTGTAATTATACTTATTAAATGCATTTTAACCTGTCCCACCATTTGTGACTTAGAGCACTCTGTGTATTAGGAAGGGCTGGTTTGTTGGAAAAGGAAACTGAGGCTCAATGTCTATTTAAGTGATTTGTGCCCCAGATTATAAAGCTATAAAGTCAGAGTTTGAGTAGAACCTTTTCCATTTTCCTATACTTAATGAAGCTCCTTTGTGGTCTTCAGTCCTCAGTAACCCCTCCCATACTGAAATTCCTATAGCCCTCACAGCCTTTATCAGTCAGTCATTAGGATTGATTTATGAAAGCTTGTGTATTTTCATCTCGATAGTTGTGGTGACATGGCTTGTGAGTTTTTAAACTACTCAAATATAAGGGATATTTCTGATGAATATTTTCATGTAACTTTTTGTAGAGGTTCTTGTGGTGCCCATACCTTATTCCTGATTTCAGTGCAGGTGAGTGTGTCGTTCCATGCATGTTGCCAGCCTCCCACCCCAAATGCTTTCCAGTCCCTCTGCTTTTCTGCCTCAAGGCTTTCTTTCAAATCCTAGAAGGCTGCTTAGCCCTGGGCAAGCATAACCAGGAAATGTGAGAATTCAAGCTGGGGGATGGAGATAATCCTGAAACAATGGGGATGGAAATCAAGAGGTAAATGACCTCGTTTCCTTGTTCTTTGGTGGGACAATGCTGAGGCACATTCTACACAGTTTTCAGAGGGTCTCTCCAGTGAGCTTACACCCAGTTGTCTACTAAAGCAATCAGCTCAATCTCACATATTTTTTCTTGGCTTTTCCCCCTTCCCTCCTTCATTCTCTCCCCTTCACTTCTGTTTCCTGGGCTTACCTCCCAAACAAATTATCATCACCCAAGTGCTGGCCTCCGGCTCTGCTTTTGGGAAACACATCTGAAGATACTACCTAGCTATACAGGAGCTCCTTTAGAGATAATGCTTTGTCCCATCAGGTTTGTGCTTTAGCGTACTGGACTTGTAGTTTCACTGCTGATCTCTACGCTCTGCTTTGCTCCTGCTGCTCCTTCTGCCTGGCACAGTCTTCCTTTCCTTTGCCTGGCTGACAGCTTTCATTCTTCAAGACTTAGCTAGGGTATCCACTCCTCTTTGGAATCTTAACTCTTCCCCCCTCCCCCCCTTCCCAATTTACAGTTCCACCTCTATGATCCTGTAGCAATTTAGATACTAGTTAACCTCTACCAAAGCCATTATCTCTCTCTCTCTCTCTCTTTGTTTCTGTGACCATATCCTTTTATTCAGAATATGTATTGAGTGTCCATCTGGCAGGCTGACTTCCTAGAATAAGTTGAAGACCAGCCTAGAGGCTGTGTCCCTATGAGGCATGTAAAGCCATTATCTCTCTTCCTTTCTCTGTGAGTGCCGTGAAGAGAAGGGGCCTACTTAGAATGGCACTTGTTAAAAAATTAGGTGCTCGGGGCGCTTGGGTGGCTCAGTTGGTTGAGCGACTGCTTTCGGCTCAGGTCGTGATCCTGGAGTCCCGGGATCGAGTCCCGCATCGGGCTCCCCGCTTGGCGGAGACTCTGCTTCTCCCTCTGACCCCCTTCCCTCTCATGCTCTCTGTCTCTCATTCTCTCTCTCTCAAATAAATAAATAAAATCTTTAAAAAAAAATTAGGTGCTCAATAAAACTGGTAAGATGTGCAGGAATGAACTTAGAAGTCATTTTTCATTCCACAAATATTTACTGAGCCCTTACCTTGTGTCAAGCACTATGCTGTATTATGGAATATACCTAGATGAAGAGACCGAACCCAGGCAACAGGGAGCTCACCTTACCCTTAAGTAAGGAAGATAGAGTAATAATGCATAAACCAGTCAGTATTAGGCCAGGGATGCACAGGGAACTGTGGGAGGACAGAGCAGCTCAGGAAAGAGTAATGTTCTAGCTGGGTCTTAGAAGATAGTGGCGATTCACCACGGAGAGTTGGGAAAGGGCATCTTAAGTATACTGAGACATACAGCAGCAAAAGAGAAGCCTTTTCTCGGTTTGGGGGCTGGTGAGGTTGTGGAGGGGCGAGGAGCCCGAGTATGGGGTGGGGTGGGCACAGAATGATTGATTCTCGGTGCATTTCAATTGAAGACCTAAGTTACCCAGCACCTGGACCAGGGCCGGGCACGTCAGGGGTAGACGCGTTGGGAAGTCAAGAAACCTGTCTCAAGTTCCCCAAATTGAGCGCCAACCACAGAAAAGCCAGCCCATCCAGGTCTGTGGTCAGCAGGAGGACCCCCTCGGCAGCAGGCGAGCGCCATCCCAGCGGCCCTGGTCTCCGCTACCCAGAGGCGGATGAGCATGCTCAGTTGACAGGACGCGGTGGCTGGGCGGGGGGAGAGGTGCGGCGGAGTCCCAGCCCCGCAGGCGCCTAGACCCCGGAGTGCTGTAGCTGTGGGGGCGGGGCCTCCGACGCACGCTCCCTCCCAGCCCGCCTCTCCGCGCCCCGCCCCTCCAGCCTCGCACCGCCTGCTCGCACGCGGGCAATCCGTTGCCTTGGCAACCGTCGCACCGCGTCTTCCTGAGGGAGCTCAGTCAGCCCGCGGATCCCGTCGCCCGCTCCCCACTGCCCCCCGATTTTCGCGTGGGCTTAGAGGCGGAGGGACAACAAAAAATGGCGGAGCGGAGCCAGACGGTGCCTGAGGCAGGTCTGTGGGGGCGGTCGATCAGGGGGAAGCGCTAAGGCAGCACGGCTGTCCTGGGTCTGAGGGGAGAGGGGACTTGGGCATGGCCTTACTCCTGAGGAGGCGCCCCTGTGTGTTTGCGCGGTGGGGCTGTGACCTCGGGGTCAGGGGTCAGGGGAGGTGCTTACCGCTCTGAGTGGCGGCGGGCGTGGACCTCGGAGTCCCGGTGGCGGCGCAGAGGTGTATGCGGGAGTGTGCACACTCCTGAATGAGCATGGGCCCAGAAAGGGCTGGGACTCCAGGGAAGACAGGACTCCAATCCTGAGGGGCACCTGTAATGGGGCTGATCGAAGGAGTAGGCTGAGTCATGGAGAGGGGGTACACAGTCCTGTGGAAACATAAGGGGGCTCCCTAAAGGGGCATGGTTTGGTGGAGAAGGTCACTTAATCTGAGGAGGCAGGTGTATGTGGGGGGGGAGTGTTACTTTAATATCAGGCAGTGCCACGGAAGGGGGTTATACACCAAGTATTTGTGTTTTGGGGGAAGTATATAGTGCCTTAGAGTCACCCCTGGCCACGGAGAAAGTATGCAAACCCTCCTGTGGGTCCTTATAAAGACAAGAGGCTTGAGGGGACACCCAGAGCCTCAGTCCTTCGGAACCTTACCAAAGGATGCTGGAACCTGAGTTTGAGTGTATATGGGATCAGTGCTCTTGAAGGTCATTCAGAATCACAAAGGAGTGTATATCCACATATCTGTGTGTGCAAGATAGTCTTTAAGGTGCAGGGAGACTGCTGGGAAGGGGGTCCCAAGGTCCTATTCCTGAGGGGATCCCGTTGTGGGTTTGACTGGGCTTGGAGAGTAGTGACATAAGTGTCTTACAGGGTCATAGAAGAGAGCTAAGATTTTCACATTCTTGTGTATGTGGGGGGGAGTTTGTACCTGAAAGGGGTTGGGGACTGAAGAACTGAAGCTTTAAGACAAGTGATATCTGTGTGTGTAGCAAAGCAGTGGCTTTGGGGATATGTGTGGTGGTGAGTGATGGAAGTGATATACACAGACTTGTATATGTGTCCTAATTAGGTATTTTGGTTACAAGAGTGACTCACTTGAATTATCCAGCCCTTGGAGGTGGGGAAGGGGGATAGAGGTTATGCTAAGACCATATAGTGACTGGAACTGGAAGCCAAATAAAGCTATTGAGGTTCAAGAGATTGTTACCTCTCAAGACCTGCATGATTTCTCTTTCTTTCATGGCATCTCTGTTTCTTCCACCAAATAGTTCCTCTATTCTTTTTATAGTTTAAGTTCCTCATAACATTACTTTATTCATTCCTCCACTCAAGAAATATTTATTGAGTGCCAGCGACATGTCAGGTCCAAGTTAGGCAAGGGAAACTCTCTGCTTGTGATCCTCTTACCTTGTTTTTTCTTTTTTCTCCCCCTCCCCCATCCCCCATAGACTTACTGCCTTTACACATATTATACAATTTACTTATTATTTTTATTGCTTATTGCCTGTTTTCTTCCATTAGAATATAGGCTCCATGAAGACAAGGGTCTTTGTTGTGTTTAACAACCCACATGTCTAGAACCATACATGGTATACAGTAGGTTATTATTAAATATTTATTTAATGAATAACTAAATGACCTGATAAAGTCTGCGGGTTCAAGAAACTTTCTCTGAGGAAGTGATATTTTAGCTGAGATATATTGTGTAAATGAAGAGAAGGACAAAGAGTGGTCAAGGCAGAGGGAACCATGTGCAAAGATCCTAAGGTAGAAGGAAACATGATGTATTTAAGGAACTGAAAGGAGACAAATATGGCTGCATGTAGAGCAATAGGAGGAGAAAAGAAACTGAAACAGATCTTGCAGGCCTTGTGTACTATGATACAAATTTTGGTCAAAAATCTTAGGAATAATAGGAAGCCATTGAGGGCTTTTAAGGAGCATGACATGATTAGAATCATGAGGAAAACTATAACTGGCTACAGTGTGGAAAGTACAAAAGGTACAAGAGTGGATATAGGTGGACCTTTTAGAGGGTGGCAGTGGAGATGGAGAGAAGGAATTGAGAAATATTTAGGAGATAGAATTAATAGGATTTAGTGAAAGATGGGGAAGAAGGAAAAAGGAGGTATCAGGGCATACTTCCAATTTTCTAATTTGTGCATCTGGATAGTTGGTGGTGCACTTATGGAGATAAGGAGCAGTGGAAGGGGTTTTGGCTGTGTTTGAGAGGGAAGATCATGAGTTTGGTTTTGGACATATGGAGTCTGAGGTATCATTTAGCCATCCAGGTAAGTGGAGGGATTGACAGGGCAGTTGAATGTATAAGAAAAGTCTGAGCCAACATGGAGATAATTACTGAAGTCATAAATGTGGATGAAATTGCCTAGAGAGAGAGTAGCATGTGGGAGGCGGAGGCTTGGGATTAAGTGTTGAATAGCTGAAATATTTCAGTGCTTTCCAAAGAAAATGAAGAGAATGGCCTTGAACAGATTAAATGCTGACAAATGATATTAAAAGGATGACTGAAAAACTAGCTTTAGCAACAGATTTAGCATTATTGGTAACATTGATGAGAGAAAATTGATGAAGGTAGAAGCCAAACCATTTAACTTCCGAATCATTATTAATGGGTGCAGTCTTTGTTTCTTAATTCAGATTCCCGAGAGAGAAACTGATTGATATCTATCATCTTTCCCACCAGATCATGTCAAAGGATTGCAAGTCAGTGTAGGATTGACTGTTTCTGGATTAGATGTCCAGCTATTGTTGGCTGGAGTCACCTGGTGCAAAACGTCCATTTGGTGATTTCTCATCTCAGTAGCAATAGCTAGCGTTTATGGAATGTTTATTATGTGCCAGATATTGTGTTAGGTGCTTTATATGTTTTAATTTACTTCAGCATCATAGCTACATTCTAAAGTATTATCTCTAATATTTGAAGAAGTTTTGGCACAGAGAAGTTAAGCAACTTGCTCAATAACTGCAATAAGTGTAAGATTGTAGGATTTTGGGGCCTATTTTAACATTATCCAGATTCATTATTTGGCTTTCTGTTTGTATGGCAACATACTATATTTTGAAGAAATAATAGCCACGATGAAAATTCCTGCCCCACAGGAAATGTTATTCTAAGGTAAGCATATGTTAGCAAGGTGATGTGGAAAGAACTGGGCTTCAGATCTTTGTTTAAAGCCTGTTTCTATACCTTATTAAATGAGGACCGGGGACTCAACTTTTCTGTTCTAAAGTTCCCTCATCTCTAAAATGGGGATGGTATTTACAGGATAGGTGTAAATACTAGAGGTGCTATATCTGAAGTGCCCAATAAATGCTATTTCCTTAGTTCCCCTGAAGCTTGAATATAGAAAATTAAGATGTATTACCCATACTTTACATATAAAAACAAGCTTTAAACATACAGTGGTGAATTTAAGACATTCTTTTTTTCTTTCCCATTGGTTTAATTTATTTGCTATCGGAAGAAAGGCAGACACCTAGTTTAGGAGAATGTGGAATTGTTACCTGAACTAAGCGTCATGGGATATGTCCCTATATGAGATAGATTTTGAGAAATTTCTTAAAGGTGTGAAGGGACAGTTAAACTTTTGTTTTTTTTCAAGCATGCAGATAGCTCTGTAAGAAGGTCAGGATTGCAAAAGGAAGTTTCTTTTAAATAATGTACTTTAAAATGAGGACAAGAAAAAATGAGGACAAGAATGTTAGAATTTCTCTTCTTCTCCAATAATTTGACTATGAAAAATAATAAAAAAGAAACCTTGTAGTTAATTAAATGTAGGAGTATTATTCTCAGGCTAGATTGCACCTGTTTCAATTTCTCAGACTCTTCTCCTTCCTTTCCAACTATCATAAAAGAAAGCTTTTGTTTGAATTACCTGGTAAAATTGCTTTCCTGTATTGCCAAGTTTGTTACTTTTGTGGAGGTCCATACGACCAGAAATTTTAGAATGATGTGGTCTCTTAAAATGGCCTGTACCTTGATCACTTTCTCTGTAAAATTGAGTCTTTTTTTTTTAAAGTAATTTATGGTATCTGAAATCATCTATAGACAGAATCTTGAAATTTTAAAAAGCCTTAGAAATAAGAATAATATTTTCTATCTTCTGTTAGTAGTTGGACAAAAATTAAGTCTATTTGCAAATTGGGGATAGTAACATCTACTTTTCAGGTAAGAATTAAAGATAGGTTTGGAAAATGCGTAATGTCTTACACTCTCCTACCTCCAAAGAAATGGTAGCTTAATTGGTATATACGTGTGTGTGTGTGTTTGTGTGTCTTTTCCTAAAGGCTTACTAGTAAAATCACCTTTGGAGATGAGGAAATCCAGGTCTCCCATCCCCTGTTTGCAGCCTTGGATGCAAATATATTTCAGAATTCAGATTTTTTTTGGGTTGTGGAAAAGTAATACAGCATATGAACTATTGATTACATAATATCTCCTTGGGGTATGGGAAAGTACCTTGTAATCAAACAACATTAATATATTCACACTAAATGAATAGAAGTTATAAATAGCTTCATGTCAATTTAGGTTAAGTTTTGCCAACAAATTAGTTTTGGCACCAAACCTATGAAAAAATATTTGGTTTTTAGAGATTGATGGATTTTGGAATTGTGGAAAAGGGAATGTGGACTTATGTAATTTTTTTCCTTTTTAGAAATATTTTTAAAACTTTAATTTTTTTGTCACCTATATATTTTCTGTAACCTCAGTAAGTATAGCTTTATTAAAGATCCAAAAAGTACAGTATTGGGACAGAAAGTACCTCTTGTTTCCATGATGCTTATATGCTTGTTTCTTCTAAGGAGCTCTAAATGTTGCATTTGGCTTTAGTTTCAGTATCATGGCTCAGTGTCACTTTCAATGAGAGATACTAGAGAAATTTATGTATTAAGAAGGTCAGAAGGATGTCAGTATTTTGCATACATATTTTTAGCAAAGTCCCAGCTTTGTCTTTGTTTCATTTAAGAACAGCACAGTCTTATATG